CATATACAAAGAACACATAAACAAAATATTGCATTAAACGACAGTAACATATACACAAACAATCCAATATTTAATATTCTACAGTCCATCGACCCAACCAACTGAACAACTTTCACTCAACTCAATATATATAGCCACACACAACACACACAGATCAGTTACAAGCTACTGCCCCATAATATCGGACGTACAACGCATCACTCACAACCCGGTATGTTTTACTACCTTCTACTACTATATTTGTGATTCTTCTTTATTGTTTTACATTACATTACGGTAATAAATCTAAAATTTGTAAATTATTATATTTCCTATGTCAAATCCAAAAATCATGATTTGAAAATTAATATTACAGATATAAACATCCAAGCATTAAAAGGAAGGAAATCAAAACAGTCAAACATATCAATATACGCGGAGCAGGATGTACAACAGTTTTTTAAAACAGTTTTGAATTGATTGACCTGATGATGGTGAAATACACCGAAACATGTCGTCAAATGTGAAATGTATCAAGATATAATTATAAAAAATGTTGTAATTTTATGTATTCTTAAGTAATTTTAACAACATTTTAAGTTTGTGTACAGACGGTGAATAAATTATTATATAAATTAACTGATGTTTACTTACCTCATCTATGAAAGCAATAGTGCCATTAACATGAACAATTCCTATCTGCTCACTCTGCAGAGAAGGATGGGCTCTAATTCTAAGTCCTGCACTATTTTTTGCTACAAATTTTCGCAGACGACTGGGCTGATGGGGAGCTTTCTTCACAACACTCTGTGTAGGAGGTGTCATTCCTTGTGGTGGCTCTTTCACTTCTACTTTGTATGCCTGAAACATAACTTATTTTTATCGTTCAGCTCCAAGTAATTTGCTACAAGCAACAACAATTTAGTTACCACCCCTCTGCTCTTTCAAAATGCAATGGTGAAGAAAATTGGAGACTGAGGAAACAAATTTATAAAAACACACACAAAACCTGCAATAAAACTGAAAACAGCAAAAGAGAAACAGAAGAAAACAGGGAAACAACAATGGCAAATATGAGAGACATAACAAAAAGAAGTTCAAACCATACAGTGAGTTACCTTTATAAGGAAATGACACACAGCTTTACCACATTCTTTACCCGTGATGGAAAATAATAACTGGGAATAAAATAAAAGAGGAAGAGAGCAATTAAAAAAGTATTAAGCAGAAACAAAAAGGAATAAGAGACGAAATCACACAACACAAAAACACAAGGAAATGAAGTTGGCTAAAAAGACAGAAGCTTCTCCACACAGTTTAAATGAATTTGGATTCAGTTTTGGTATTTCAATTTGGAAAATGGAGATGGGAAAAGCAAAATGATGAAGGAAAGCAACAAATAACAGAACATAAATAATTAAAAATAATAATAAACACAGGAAGCAAAGGTCACTTGCATCCTCCAAAGTTTTCATGCATGTATGTGTTCATCACAATATCTGGTTTCCATGCAACAACCACTAACAGTTTGTCTATACTTACCTCTTCCATGTCGTAACCATCAATGGTAACAAGCACAGAATACCAGCCAACACTTCCTGGTGTCCATGTCGCACTATACGTTCCATCAGAGTTTGGACGTACCAGCATGTTCTCACTTGAACGTTTAATTGCAGGAGATGTAAATCGCAACTCCTCAAAAGAGTAGTTCTCATAAGCCTGGGAGTTGGGGTAAAAATAAATCAGAGCAAAATAAGAACCCACATCCAAAATATACCATGTCACATTTAATTTTTGAAGGAAGATTGTATATTACATCTCCCAATTTTGAGAATATTATGAAATGACTTAATACTACAGCAGCAGAACCAGAAGGTTGAACACCATTAATACAGACGTCTACAATTGAACACAATCCTGTGACTTCAATCCACTATATTCTTAACATACCTTACCCATTCCATCAAAAAATATATTTCTTACAAACAGGTATTGTGACCTGTAAGATATACATTAGTATATTTGCATGAGAACTCTTGAACACAATCATTAAATGTGGAAAACTGTACACTAATTGTCTTACATTCACTTTAATGTAAAAAATTGTGCATAAAAGTAGGGTCAGTATGCAAGTAAACACTGTGATGAAATATATAACTTAGTTGTTTTTTAATGGCTACTAGAGCAAACCTGACTTAAAACGTGCCAAGCCACTGACTCCTGCCAAAGACTATTCTCCAGTCACTCATTGTCCTGTTTTTTGAGATTTTATGAAGAATAAAGAAAACCAAATTCTATATACAGAAGTTTCAGCTGGAATTCTGTGTATTCATTTCATGATACATTGTGATAATATCTCCATGGTCTCAAAAAGTATTTAATCCAAGTTTCTAGCACATTTGTGCTATGAGGAGATAATTATAGCATTTCTTAGCTGTGGTCTTTCACCAATCAAACAAATAGCTTCATAACAGATGTTACTTCCACGGTTATCTAAAATTAATAAGACTTTGCTTTCAGTTTTAAATTTTAATCTAAGGATAAATCTAAGGATAAATCTTCCTTCAGCAATCCATAGGCACCCATTTTAACAAAACTTCTTAGTAGAAGTTAAATTAAAACAAATATTCAGAATGAAGATTTCTGTCTTCTGGGTTGTTGTGCTGTGTAGTCTGATCGATGTTAACCAACCTCCGAAACGTTGGTAAACATCGACCAGACTACACAGCGCAACAACCCAGAAGTCAGAAATCTTCATACTCATCGCCCTGATGACGGAGGCAGTATGACCTCTGAATCGTTGGTTAACATCGACCAGACTACACAGCGCAACAACCCAGAAGACAGAAATCTTCATACTCACTGCTGTGAAAACCTCAAGTCTTACAATTATTCAGAATGTTTAATATGTTGATTAATTTAAAGAATTATTATGTTGAGTAAACTTATTTAAATAACATACCTTCATAATGGTGATAGCATAGTAACACATCTTGTCTTTGACAGTAACCTCATATGGTGTGTCCAAAGAAGGATGTGCGTGCCCCCCAAAAGTCAAAGCATCTGGTTGGCTCACCCGACGCATCTTACGACCCTGGTCAGAATCACCAATCTCTTTCTTGTCAATAGGAACTGCCTTTACTTCAATCTGAATCACCAGACATGAAAAATGGAACAATTCAGGTCCTTTCAAGTCACATTTAAATTTAAATTAACCAAGACCAATTCCATATTTACTGCTTTGCACAGTTGTGTATGACATTTTCAATTCATATTTATCTGCATAAATATGTGACAAGGAAAAGCAAAATGAAGAAAAAGATTTGCAAGAATGAAAAGATATGAGCCATCTAATACCTAAAACATCCATACAGTTACTGGCAGTGATATAAGATTATTTAAATTAGTCTTCTATATTGCAGAATTAATGGCCATAAAAGGAACTTTTCACCACTGTGTTAGATTTTTATAATTTGTTATAATCGTGCATTAAAGGTGCAATGAAATTCTCTGCAAATATCAAGTCAATACATTTCACCAATCAACTGTTTGTGTTTGACAATTCATATATTTGGCTGATTTCTGGATTATAAGGCATTTTTCTCCATTACAACTCAGCATATACCATTAAGTCAGTATTCTGATTTATTGAGTTCCACCCACCTTCAGGTTGGGAACATGGACAATATCTCCATACTGGTCTTTGGTAACAACAGTAACAATAGCAGGCCAACCACATCGCATATCATCCCTGCTGTATAGCACCTCACAGTGTGCCGGATCAACGTACGAGTCTGGCTGTAACCATCGAGACAGTCGTCCACCGCTTGTCCCCGGGACACAGTGTACAAAGTCTTTCAAGAACAGTCGCTCATTGGAGTGGCAACTGTAACACAATAGCAACAGGTGAAATGATATGATGTGTTCACTATTTCAAACATGGCATGGCCTTGGAAGTAACAGCAAGAAATCAGCTCGTAGAAATGATAGAAGGGCCTTCATGTAATGCAGAAGTCATGAATCAAGACCACAGCAGCTACACTAAACCAGACTGGGATATGCTTCATACCTCATTCAGTTATGTTGATAAATGATCACTAGGTTAGGTTAGGTTAGGTTAGGAACAGTCATGAAAAGACATACCTACTTCAATTTGGAGTAAACATTTTCCAAACATATCATCTGTGACTTTCATATTTTGTGAGCCCTGATACTCACTTATTACAGATATAAATCAAACTTACTGTTGCAAAGCACACCAACCACATACAAAACTTCATAATTAAAAATGTTGTAAAAGTGGTAATTATATGTACCAGCTACTTTAAAAATTAACTCTGCATTTTGTACAAATGTGTTTATGATTCTCAGTGTAAAGTGGTAGAGAGAAATCATTTCCTTAAATAACACTGACCAGTTGTTTGTAATGGAGAAGTGTTATTTTCTTTGAGGTACAAAGTGAATTCTTAAACATTAATTAGATGAGATTTTACTTCAAAGGGTTAATTAAAGATACACCCAAATGAAAAATATTTACAATCAATTTTCAAAATTAAATTTGCCAAAAATATGAAGTGTAGACAGCAACAACAAATTTCACTAAAATTTACAGGGCTGACAGTAGTGTCAGAAATTAAACGTGTAGATGGCCAACAGATAAGTGTTCCCGATGTTCACTGACTTTAATGAATTTTGTGTATAAAATGCATAACAATTAAAATCTGTGGTTGTTTGAGAATGAACAGCCTATACCAATATCTGGCCATAAAGGAAAATAAACTAACATGAAATTGGAGAAATTACACAATGAGGAGCTTCATACTTCATACTTTCACCTAATAAGTTGCTATTAGGTTCATAAATCAGGGAGGATGGGATGGGTAAGACATGTGGGATGCATAATGGAGAAGACAAATGCACACAAAATTATAGGCAAAAAAACTAAACAGACTATTTGAGATATCTACGTAATATGAGGTTTATGCCGAAATGGACCTTAAGAAATTGGGTATGGAGATTCGGAGATACAGTTGTTGGCTCTTGTGAAGACAGAAATGAACATTCTGGTTCTATAAAATTAATTCGTTAACTTAAGGAACAGTCAGCTTTTCAACACTCCGCTCCATGAAGTAAGTTACTGCATGCGTTAAGCATTATTTATTAACGTGTATTTTTGTATATATTCCATTGCAAGTAACAAGCACATTAATCATGCTACACGGTTACCAACTTCTTACTTTGGATAAGATCGGTGAAAGTGTGCGTGGAGGTCTGTGACAAAACCCTCGGTGTCTCCATTCCATTTAGCGCCGTTTTATTGTTAGTAAAAACGTAAACGTAAGCCGTCTTGAAGATCGTTATTTGTTGGAGAATCCGTCCAGGGTGATAATGTAAACAATTCAAAGTGTGATATGCGATCCGTCTGACACTCAGTGGCTACCCAAGCAAGCATGCACAGGCACAGAAAGCATTGTCTGTAATTAAAATAATTGTATCCGACCAGCCTACAGGCGCTGTTGGCATAATCTGTGCTGTTGGCACAGAACTGAGCCAAATTCTGAGAAACGGTTGGCACGAGACTTGCACTGGAATCCATCAGCCCGCGTTCAGCTGACGATCGAAACCTGGATAAAACAAAGAGGGCGTGTATTGTGCTCTCTTCAGACAGAATATCGGGATAGGATGTGTCTGACACCAAGACGACCAAGAAATGTGGTTACTTCAGATTGCACCAAGCATCCAACACAGACCTTGGAAGGGTCCTGGTTAAGACAGATTGGTCTTCAGCGTAAGCCACTCACTCTACCGTACCTTTTGCCACAGAAAAGTTCAAAATCAAAATGGTAGAAGTGGGCGAGAAACTGGAAGATTGATAAATGTAGTCATCTGCCATTCTTACAAGAATTTTGGGAAAAGAATACTGGCGACTTTAAAATTGTATACCCATTCACAATGGTCGTCTTTACACTGCATGAAATCATGTTTCTCCTTGCATTTCGTTAAAATATTTACCATATTGTAAGAGTTTCAAATAATATCTGAAATTTCTAATGAGGAATATGATTGTTACGCGCTGTTTATTTTGTGCGATGAGTCATTTTTGAGACATTCAATAAAGTGCAATTTGGCATCATGTAAAACACACACTTCATATGTACACGTCAAAATGAAATTCCCCGGCAACGATCAGTGTTAAGAACGGTAGATTCAGATATGAAACACGCACACGATATCATGCGTTCATTTTATGCCCTTCACTACAGTAGCCACGAGCCGCTGCTGGTGGCAGCACGCGCAAGCCATCTTCCGTCTCCGCTTCTCCGTCTGCTCAGTTCAGTCCAGTCCAGCAGTAATCCTTGGTTCAGTCACTCGGTGTCTCTCAGTGAGGAATGTTACTAGTGTGACCGGAGTGTGTTTGTCAGTATGACTGCAAGTGCTTTCTCGTGATCGTGGTAGTGGTGGCCATGGCATCCATCGGTGCGTGTCACGACGTCGAGATTTAGAGTGTCGACATGGTTGTGGTCGTTTTACAATGGGTGGCACTATAACAACAGATGCTGCCCGCAACTCATTACTCTTTTTACTTCTATTGCTTTTGTTCGGGATGTTGATTCACGCGACTAATATGGCGGCAGCGGCACCTACAACATCGTCGCCGTCACCAGACGTCTCCATCTGTATGCGAGAAGGCTGCAATTGCACCAACGCCGCCCCCCACTGGCTAACTGTCACATGTTCCTTCGACAGCAAACAGGCAAGTGTGGTGATGGCTGCCGAAATGCCATTTCTTTTACTTTATTCGGCAAGCCACTATGTGGACCCAGGCAAATGTTCACTTATGAACACGCTTTTAACACAAATTTAAGTCAATTGTGTAGTATTTGTCTTCTGTCTCATATACAAACACCTTTCCAATTGTCTCCCCGCTTGCAAGCGGGAGGCATAATGTGCCGTCTGAATATTCATTTCGTGTCATCCATCGTCCGCTTAAATTCAACAATCATACACAACAGCTTACGAAGACCGTACATACTTATCCATCTTGCTGTCCTGTGCCAAATTCCTTCGTCCACTGTTAATTACAACCTCTTCCCACATATAAACTATATTGCCAGGCTCAACTGGTCTTCGTGTTTTTCCGTATTAAGTTTTCATTTCTTCCACGTTATTATTCTTTAAATTCTAACAGTCTACGTTTATCTGTATCCGACTAAACACTGGAACAGTCAGTACCAAATTCCATGGAGTAGATACCTCTTTGAGAAAATGAAATTGTATACCTGGTTAATAGTGTTTTTACTGAAACCGAAGGTTCATTACCGCATTAACAAAATCCTCCCACCGAACCATTCCCTTAGCCAGCTTAATCCAGTTTAAATCCGTAATCCACTTTAATATTGTTATTTTTACGCCCCGGTCTGCCTTCAGGTTTTCCAACTAAAATATACGTATCTCGCCTCTCCCTTCCCATGTCATCATCGTCGATTTCATCACCCGAATGACAACTGGTGGTGAGTATGAAATATGAATCTCATTATTTCACTGTCTCAGTACTTCGGTTTTTATATTCTCTTGCGTAATTGAAAAAAATTGCTCTCCTGCACACCTACGTAATACCCACACTTATCTGATGCTGATTCATGTTCGTTCCTTTCCAGTATGATTTACGATCCATATTTGTCTCCCTACAATCCAGTATCACAAATTCCCTCTCCCGTACATTTTATGAAAATAAACTACTTTCGAGCAGACTACAGGAAAACTGACACACAATGTATCATCTATGTGATATCAGGGGCGAAGTGTTGAAGTCAGCCGTGCAAGCCCGGCTAACAATTTGAGAAAACGAAAAATTAGAAAGTATTCTGCCTTACTTTCGCGATACTGGAACACAGCAGAAATGATCAGCTAGGCGCTCGCGGCCCCAACGAAATGGGAAAGAACGCGTGGCTGGACCAACAATGTGGTTCTGCTGTTACTTTGGAACTTTTGTATCGGTGTGAATCTCATGAAGAGGACGTAAACTACAAGTGAATGGAAACAAAGATCTCAGGAACGTATATGTAAACCAATGCGTAAGAATGAACGATCACTTTATCACATTTCAGGACCAGTACGAGTAACGCAAAGAATCCCAAAACTCAGACAAAGGCATACACGGCGGTGAAATGTTCTCCGTCTGTAGGGCATGAACCCAGATATCAACATCCACTGTGACTGTCTTTCCACTATGCCGATTTATATATTTAACTCACAGCAAGAAGGCTGCAGACTGTCTACACTCCCCGAAAAAAAGAATTAAAATTCTGACGTTGCCTTTCGCCGATAATATATTTCTAACGTTTTTATTTTAAAAGTTATGCTTGTGTCGACAGGCGTTAATAACCAGTGCAGTCGAGCCCTCTTCATGCTTGTTAAAATCATCCAAGCAAGCACGTCAAGTCAATCCAAATCTTTTCATAGTAAATGGTGAGTATTTGTCTCCATCAACCCTGGAGAGGGGGCGGGCAGCAAATTAAATGTGCCATGAATTTAGTATACGTTTCTTTCTATTCGTAGTGTCAATATAGGCAAAATAATATCGCCAGCTCGTTCACACGACATTTTTTTCCGTCACTAGACTGTCAAAACTAAACTCCGGCATAATGGACTGGGCTGAACTTTGCCTGTGACCGCAAAACATGCCCTGGCATCTGACCTACAATCTCAAGTCAAGAACATCCTCTATCTGGCAAGTTAAACTGCGTGTTATTAATTCTGTTACCAAGTTAGTAAAACGTTCACAAGATTCCAAGATGGAATGAAGTTGCCGTCACATGAAGTATGCTTCCTGTTGTTTATGTATTTAGGAAATCGTAAAATCAGACTTTCTGGTAGTAAAAGATAAACCAAGCACCGGACACCACTATTATGGAAACCCTACGTTGGGCGTGATCCTGAACCAGTTCCACTCATCATCTCCCATCCTTGCAGTCTGCTACCCTTCCATCGCCTTCTTTGTCTTCCACCAAAATTCTCTGTGCCTTCCTTATCTTCCCTATCCTAGCCCTGCCTATTGTAGCCCTCTAGATCAGTGGTATTCAACCTTTTTGTTCGCGTACCCCCAGATATAATTTCTCTTCAACTTTGTACCACCAAAGTTGTTGGTGCATAATTCAAGTTATACATAGTATATAATCTACATCTAAAATAAATTACATTACTGATTATTCAGTGTTTATCATAAAATAATATATATATATATTTTTTTAAATTTCACGTACGCCCTAAGATGTCTTCGCGTACCCCAGGTTGAATACCACTGCTCTAGATTACACTATCCTCAGAATACTTCTTCTTCTTCTTTTGTAATGAATCCTAGGATTGGTTGGCAGCAGCTTGACCTGCTGATACTTGGGAAATCCTGAGGATCTTTAATGCGGTGTCTTCCCCTTGCATTTGTATAAATCTGCAGTCCTTCGTCACAGGTTTACTGTGTAATAAACCAAATTGTGCACCAGAATCGCTCTGGACGCTGCGGCAAAAATGTCTTGCCGGGAATCGAATCCTAGTCGTTCAGCCAACAGCCTAGTCACTATACAGACTTATCACAGGTAATATATATTTATTGATCTTTAGTGCTGTGGGTAGTAAATGTGATGAGTGAACTGAGTAGCAATAAAATAAACAACGTCCATATTTCATTCATATGTTTCAGTTTTAAACATCTGAGCAGCAGAAATAATTCTAGAGACCCTCGTCGATACAGCCTATAAGTAGAGGTAAAATACGAGAATGTAATCTTTGGCCATCTTATTTAAACACTTTATGAACTCTTTTCTGGGAATATAATTCCTAAAAAGCGAATCGAAGTAAAATTAGAAAGGAACTGGGCTCCGGAACCAAATAATATACGACAAGCTGGAAGTGTTGTGACTGACTGAAGAATACAATAAGCTACCAAAAGCGGGTTTCAAACCCGGCCTTATTAATGACATCAGAGGAACAATCATTATCGTTATCGTGCGCGGGCCTTAAAAACCACGTGACAAGCATCACTAATGAATGTGTATCATCAACCTTTGCTCGACTTTCGCAAACCATCGGCGCCATATCACAATAAAAATCTTTCAGAGCAATTTCAAGTTCTTGTCAGAAACTTGCTGGGCAACGTATAAAATTGGCAACTTCCGCCAATATCAGATCAACGACCTCGTCCATTTAGTTAACGGTTCACGGTTGTACCAGAAGAACTTGATAAAAGCCTATCGGGTTTACTGTAAAGCAATTGCGTGGATGTGTTATGGGGGTCACAAGAGTTGGGAAAAGTTACAGAAGTCCAAAGAGAGAAACAGGTGATGAACATTCTGGTCCGAGTGACCGCTCCACTATAGCAGACCAAGGTGTTACCAAATAAAAGTAAGCAGCTGCGACAAAGTGGGGTGGAACACACTACGAGGCTAAAGACACATAAAGCACAGTTTCCGTCTCCAATTGGTGTAGCGAACCCACGTGAATGAAGTCATGGCCAATATGGTCTAAACGTGGCAGAGGCATGGTAAGTGAAATTACGTTTCAAAAAACTGAAATGTTCTCGAATAGGCCCTCTGTACACAGCCCGTGGCCTCTTTACGTACAATCATTCGGTCCATTGGATGCAATCCTTCGAGACGCCGACAGCCGATCAGCTGTCAGGAATTTTCCCTCATTTTATAGAAACCGAAGGCTCATGACCTTGTTCGCAGGAGTCCGCCACTAGAATCTATAATGAGCCAGATGAATCCAGTTCACACCTTTAGATGCTGTTTCTTTTAAGATCCATTTTAATGTTATCCTACCATCTGCCCCCAGCTCTTCCAAGTGGTCTCTCTTGTTCAGGTCTTCCGGTCAAAATTTTGTTTCATTTGGCGGAATATTTTACAACTAGTGGCACACTTCGTTTTTAGCTGAAGCTTTAAGCGACTGACTTGTCTTGTCTGTGTTCCTTCCTTTCTTTCATTCTTCATTCCTTCTGCGTCAGTGAGGATAAAGAATCGGTGAGTTTTGGGTCACTCGCTGGACCTTTCAGAAATGGGAGGATGAACCATGTTACATAAGGTACTGCAGATCCTTGCATGACGTGTACGTATGACAAAATACTTTATATGCCTTCGTACATAAACTTTTAACTGCGAATGTTCATTGTCTAAATTAATGACGTATTTTCGATTTTAATACGACACAAATGTATTATTATGTTTAGACGTCATAGTGGAGAACAGTGTGATGCAGATGGGGTCCGGTAATACGTGAGTAAAAGACTGGGGATTGCTGGCATCGAGGACTGAAGAAAGTCCCCGAGTATCAAAACGTTAGGGCCTGTGGCCCGTTTGTCCGATGTAGTTGCAGAGGGAATTTCGTGAAACACGCCCAAACGTACTTTTCGATTATTTTCACATTTCGTAGCGACTGTCATATCTTCTTAACTCTGGTCAACGAAAGCGTTCAGAAGCAGCCTTATAGCTTACCCACTCAGTAACCGACTGCTGAGCTAGTGCGGTAAATTAAACACGCCTCACTTAATGCAGACGTCTGTCCGTTAGCCTACCCATTCATCTACCTGCCTACATATCTGCCTGTCAGTAGTATACCTACTACCTAGCTATCCAAAACGTCCGTCTCTATTCATGCGCGCATATGCAGACTCCAGTACCGACAAACCTAAAAGCAGAATTATATAACGACATACAAAAAGGATATTGTTCTGGGTTTATATGCCCTGAGTATGCGTGTCCT